ACCATTAAATGTTGTTATCATTTGACAGTATGATTATGTTGTGTCAATACAATTATGCAACATACAATGATTAACACATTAATCACCTTTCAAAGATTAAACACTTAACCAATGAAAATTAATTTTCACTCATTTCATTAATCAAGCAGTTAACAAAACAATGACAATTGGTAGCATACATCTCCATATGCTTTAACTAACTTTCATAAATATCGATGTTGTACACAAGTAGCATGCAATCTTAATGATTTCCATTTCTAAAAATAACCAAGATTAATATGCATAAAATATTTCTATTTCTAAAAATATCAAATGAAGTTTTAGCATATAAAAATATTGTTTCAAGCAAAAATCATGAAACAAGGATTCCATTAAACACCTTATGTTCGAATCCAAACACCACCATAAAAAATTAAAATATTCAAACTAAATGAAGTTTCTTCCCTCTTCAAGTAAAGATACTAAGAAGCTTGAAACGAAAACATTGTTGCTACAGCTGTTGCTACCCTCCTCGACAGATTCAAACCTCCATGGTCGGTGGAGGAAAGAAGAAAATAAAATGGAAATGAAGAAAGTTTGAATAAGGGTGTGAAAAATGTGAAGGGAGGCCTTATTTATAATTCCAAAAGGTCAAAGCATCTACCAATAGGAAAAATATGATTTTTCCTATATTTTCCAGCCATTTTATAGTTGTATTAGACAACTGTTGGATTCCAGAATTTTCTATAACTGCCCGTTGAGTCAACAATTGTTGCAGCATCAGCACGACAATCCAGTATAGCATCAGTGAGCAATAATGTCTACAACATCAACGTATCAAATTATAGTAAAATATCATAAAATAACCCAAAAGATATAAAGTCACTCCCAATGTGCAAATGATGTAAAATATGATAAAATAAACCTAAAATGATCCTAATGTGATCCTAATGATGCTAAGGTTCAAGCTTAACCTATATAAAAATGTCCTAAAAGATAACTATTTTGGAGAGTTATCACACCCTCAAACCTTAGTGTTTGCTTGTCCTCAAGCAAAAACATGCATGAAATGCAATATTCTAAACAATAATGTTGCAGAATAATGCCACCAAACCAAGTCAAGTTTTTAATGTTCCTTTTTTCAGCTCTCAAACTTTTTATTGTTGCCACAGAAGTGATAGCATCAAATGATATCTAATTAGAGAATGTAATGTCAACTTATTAAAATCAGAATCTACTTAATGCAATAGTGTGCAAGCAAGGTATTTCCAATTAATACTTAGCTAAATTAGAAAAAAAATATTCATACTCAGTTAATGATTTTCAATGTTGTAGCAATCATCCTAAAACTAATGTTTGAGATTCTAACTTATTTGATTTCCTAAAACTAATGTTGAAGATTCCAACTTATTTGATTTCCTAAAACTAATGTAGGAGCCAGCTGCAAGTTATTCCAACTTATTCAATATATATATATATATATATATATATATATATTGAAAATAAGATTGCTATAACATCTAATAAGATTAAGATTTATAGTTCATAAGTTTCTAATGTCTCTAAGTATTGAGAACATACACCTATTGTGTAAAAGGGTTTTCATGGATCCTAATCCTAACAAGTATTTAGAATATTCCCAATGACATTTCACAGTTAATTGTTCATTATTGAGCATCACCAAAAATTCATAAAAAACTTCATTAATATGGAAGCATTAAACCTACAACATTATATATGAAAGTTCCTAAATGGTCTAAACAATATGGACAACAGTGCACACATAAAACAAGCAATTGTAATAAGACATGCAAATACGAACAACATAAATGAATGCAACAATATAAACAACACAAATAGGTAACACACCACCAAACCTAAGATGTGCATTGTCCTTAATGCACACAACAAAAAAAAACGTGAATAAAAGTAAATAGGTGAAGGGAAGCAATACTCCCTTAGCAAATCTTTCTTGGGCTAGAAAAATAATAAACAAAATCTAAAAAAAATGAAATATAAAAATAAAATATAAATATAAAAAATATAAACTAGTCGAGCTTGAGTTCATAGAACCAAATTGAAACAATGTGATGGGGTATATTGCCACCATAGTGTTTCATCATGTGCCCATTACACATGCTTCAACATTCATCCAAGTGTGTTTGCTTTGTTCCCTCGATAATGCCAACAACATAACATTCAACATTATCATCGCATGGAAAAATATTGAATGTAATTTCATTTAGACGCATTATGAGTTCTCTCTTATGGACATTAACTTGTGTTCGTGCTATAGAAAGGAAAGGTCTGCCCGATATTATTGGCACATCTTTATCAGCTACACTGTCCAAGATAATGAAGTTACTGGAAAGATGAATTTTCCAATTGTAATAGTATTGTCTATTTTGCCTTCAAGATGGACAGTGGATCGGTCGGCAATTTGTACGGTAATAATTGCGGGTGTTACTTCAATATCAAATTTCCTAACAATAGGCAAATACATTAGGTTAATGTTAGAACCTAAATCACACAATGCTCTAGCAATGAATTGATTGCCAATAGTGAAAGGAATAGTAAATCTCCTTGGACATTCAACTTTGGTGGTAATCTGCTTGTGACATTGGCGCTACACTCTTCAGTGAGTATAATTGGTTCGAACTCGCCAATGCTATGTTTCTTGGAAAGTACTTCTTTCATGAATTGGCATACTTCGACATTTGTTCCAAGGCATCAATCAATGGGATGTTGATCCTTAATTGATTCAATACATAAATGGATTTTTTGAATTGCTAATCCTCCTTGGTGTTTTAAAATATTTGAGGGAATGGATGTGACAACCTCCCTTTAGGTTGTAACGACAATTGTGGTGAAACAGAAGATGACAGTTTGTTGGAATTACCGGCAACAATGGTGATACATGCATCACAAAACTCACACCAAAGGAAGAAGTAATAACTCTTCCAAATGATACACTCGTCCAAGCATTGGAAAAGAAGATCAGAACAAGAAGCAGAATTGCGACGACTTTTTTAATGGGATCTTGATCTTATTTGGTCAAGCTGTCTTCTGGAGATACGACATTCTATCTCTTATCTTTCCAACAGTTCTTGAATCGCATCAATCCGTTATCGGGAACTCAAGATATAACTATTTTACTGAAGACGGTGCATGCAGGAAATCCTATACGGGATTAATACGTGATTTTGTAAATATTACGAATTTTCAATATTTATATTGATTATTTGTAATATAATTTAATATAGGATGAAGAATTATCTTTTAGGATCATATTTATTATTTTATTAGGAATTAAGGTTAGGTTAAAACAATATTTTTAGTTATTATTATTTTATTAGGAATTAGAGTTAAGTTATGTTTAGTTTATTATTATTATATTATTTAGTTATTTAGGACCTTTAGAACTAAGCCCCTATATAAAGGAGGCTTCATGAAACTTTGTAAATAAGATTTCTTTGATTAATAATACAACGAGAGTTCATTTTTGCAAGTGTTGATTGCCTTGTGCCTTCGAAGTTTCTTCTCCTTGAGTTCTTTCAAGTTCTTGTGAGGGAGATTAATCTTCACATTCCAATTTGCCTTTTCATCACAACTAAGAGGGTTGGTTAGAGCCATATTATCGTGTTTTCCTTTTCATTGCGACTAGGAGGGCATGATAGGACACTTATCCGTATATTTTTCACAAATTCATCCTCATCCTCATCCTCACCATCATCATCTTTTCTGTTCACCTTCATAAGGGAGATCTTTTGATTTCTTGGTTATCTTATTTTATTTTCAATTTCTTTATCTTTTGTTTATCTTGTTCTAATCTTGTTTCTTACCTTGTTTTCAATACCTCAAAGAAACCCTAAAAGAACCCTAACTATTGCACCATCTTCTCTATTCATTTCTCATTGTTATTCATCGAGTCTAGAGCTTTCTAGGTTTGATTCTTCAACAAGAGAAAATTCATTAACCCGCCACCGCTTCCCTATCAATTGGCTTAGAATTGTTACATTGGTCAACATCCTTTGTCACAATATTAATGTTGGGTGGATCAATCTCTACTCCTAACTCTTTGCCTTTGAGTTGAGGTTTAGGTCTCTCATCCTCTTTTTTTTATGCTCACTATTCTTCCCAAGTTGGAGACCACTTATCATTGTATGGCTTTACAATGCTGCTACAAGTAACTTCAGTGTCACTTGGCAATGCTTCTTACAGCATGGTGTTTACTGTATTGGCTAATTGTCACATTCGATTCTTTAATGCTCTCAACAATGTTATCTGACTTTGAATGATAACATCATTCCTTGAGATGTGCTCCATTAGTAGAGACTCAAGTGATGTTAATGTTGAATCTTGGTTGAAATTTTTCTCTCGATAGCTCTGTTGGTTGATGCATTGTTGTTGTGGTTGCATTGCTTGATGATGCGTCTGTTGATATGGAAACATCGGTTGCTGCTGCGCATACTATTGTTATGATAGATATTATGATTATGTATTCTTAAAAATACGAATTCAATGTTTCATTACGGTTGGCTATATTATGACTTCCCCAATATAAATAAAAAATGATTCTCTAAGTTCGGATTGAGGTGTTCTCATAGGTGTAGGCATTGTTATTCCAATTGTAGTTCATCGTGAAATACATGGAATCAAGATTTTGAGGGCATTCCTCAAAATTGTGATTTTCACCACAATAAACACAAGTAATAATGGATGTTGATTTAACTTTATACATACCTCTAGGTTGTTGCATCTTCCTCACCATCTCAGTCAATGTTGTAATCTCTAAGGCCATTTTGTTGATAGCATCATTATCCACTACTGTAGCGTTGCGTCTACCTGATATAATCCTTATGTTAAGATATTGGTAGTCATTGTTGGAGATCCTTTTAAGGGTGTCGTAGGCTTCGTTGTAAGACTTGTCCAGTAATATTCCATTGGAAGTGATATCTATTACCATCCTTGTTTGCATGTTAATACCATTATAGAATATCTCCATTTGTGTCCAACGCTGGAAACCATGCATAGGGTATTTGCATAGTAAATCTTTAAATAGCTCCCAAACTTCATATAAATTATCATCCTCCAATTTCTTGAAAGATGTGATGTCGTTCCTCAATCTCATATTCATGTTGGGAGGATTAAAGCGTAGCAAAAACTTTTAGGCAAGATCGTCTCATGATGTTATAGCTCTATGCAACAAAGAGTTAAACCACGCCTTGGTTTTTTTCATGAAGAGAGTAGGGAAACAACTTCAGCTTCAATGCTTTCTCGAGAACCCCTTGTCATACAAAAGAGTTGTACACTTCTATGAATGCTCTAAGGTAAGCTCTAGGATCCTCAGTAATTAAAACACTATATTGCCCCATACACTGCAGCATTTGAAACTTTACAGCTTCAACTCAAAGTGGGCAGCATGGATGGAAAATCTAACGATGCTAGATTTAACCGTCTAAGGTTGACACAACATACTCTCGATTGACATGTTGCGGTCATCAATGTTGTAGCAATTATGCGACATCAGAATATTTTGTAAAGGCGAAACATTAGCCATGTTTGGTTGTTGTTGATGTTGTTGCCTCCTACAATGAATGGTTCGCTCAATTTTTAGATCAAATAGTTCTAAGTCCTCGTCGTTGCTATGTGTCATGCACCAACAATGCTACACTAAAAGGAAAGTACCTATAAAAAGAGAAAAAATAGTGAAAACAAATGCAATACCATTGCTCCCAGGCAACGACACTAAAAACTTGATGATACGAAATTGTTATAGCATTCAACGTAAGTGCATGTGTCGTATATCAAGTAAAAAAGTGAAAACTACAAGAGTTTCGGATGTAGAACCCACAAAGAGCAAGGAATTACAACTTAGAATTGTTGATTATTTGCAAAAGATAAGTTTGGAATGAAATAGTGATAGGTCTATAGGAAAGATAAAAATTCATAATATTAAAGGCAATGAATGCAGTAACAATCAGGAGAGCAAATATATGGACCAGTAAATGTTGTTATCATTTGACAGTTGACAATATGATTATGCTATGGCAATACAATTATGTAACATACAATGATAAACACATTAATCCCCTTTTAAAGATTAAACACTTACCAATGAAAATCAATTTTCACTCATTTCATTAATCAAGCAATTAACAAAGCAATTACAATCGGTATCATACATCTCAAATATGCTTCAACCCACTTTCGTAAATACCAATGTTGTACATAAGTAGCATGCAATCTTAATGATTTCCATTTTTAAAAATAACCAAGATTAACATGCATAAAAATTTCTTTTCTAAAAATATCAAATGAAGTTCAACACATAAAAATATCGTTTCAAGCAAAAATAATAAAACAAACATTTCATCAAACACCTTATTTTTGAATCCAAACAACACCATACAAATTAAAATATTCAAATTAAACAAAGTTTATTCCCTCTTTTAAGTAAAGACACTAAGAAGCTTGAACCCCAAATGGTCACCGCTACTATGATAGTGTTGTTGTTCCAACTGCTGCTGCACTCCTCGACGATTCAAACCTCCATAGCTGGTGGAGGAAAGAAGAAAATAAAATGGAAATGAATAAAGTTTGAAGAAGGTGTGAAAAGTGTGAATGAATGCCTTATTTATAATCTCCAAAGGTCAAAGCATCTACCAATAATAAAAATATAATTTTTCTATATTTTCCAGTCATTTTATAAATGTATTGGACAACTTTCCGATTCCAAAATTTTCTATAACTGTACTGAGTCACCAGTTGTTGCAGCATCGACACAACAATCCAGTATAGCATCAACGCACAACAACGTCTACAACATCAATAATGTTATGGCACGAGCTTACCAAGTTACAGTAAAATATCATAAAATAACCCAAAAGATATAAACTTACTCTTATTGTGCAAACGATGTAAAAAGATCTTAATGTGACCCTAACGATGTTAAAATTCAAGCTTAACCAAAGTAAAGAGATCTTAAAAGATAATTCTTTTGGAGAGTTATCAATTGTGATAGTTCTTATTGCATGGTTGTTTGGTGCTGGAAATGAAGGAAGAGAAGCTGGTGTTTTAAAAAAAAACATGAAGAACCCAATTCAGGTTTTGGCTTTGGTTTCACCAAATCTTTCATCTCCATTTACCATACTTCAAGATATGGGATTTTTCAACTCAGTAATGGTTTAGCTCTAACTCCTCAAATGGGTAAATGTTTTGTTTTTCTCTTTTTATCTCTTCATCATCTTCTTTCATGCATTGGCTAATTGCTGGCTGTTTAGTTTATTTTTTCCTGGATTTAGGGGTTGAATTTGTCCAATACGCGATTGTATAATTTTTTTTTAAGAAATTGATTGATTTATTTAAGTTGTTCTAAAGTTCATGTTTTTTTATGGAGTCTGATTAACGCAGACTAACCCAGTTAAAGTTCACGTGGATTATAGAAAGATAGTGTTTAGGGTGTTAGGCTGATGGGTTTTGCTTTAAATTTTGAAGTTTTTTTTTATCAAGTGAGGCTGTTACTTGAGGAATATATCAGAGTTAGAATTTTTTACTAGAAATTTTAGAAGTGATTGAAGTGTATGTAGATAATGAATATGATTCCTTTTTCAGATGGAATAGCTGGAATTTCTTTGCCTGCAATATCACCGAAGATGTTGTCAGGGAAACAGGTATTGCATCTTTACTTGGTATCGATCTATTCTGACACGACAATTAATGTCATGGTTCGTGTGCCTTTCGAGTTTTTGGTCACTTGTACATTTGGCTAAGATGAAGTCATCAACGAAAAAAACCTTACCTCCACTTGGTGTTAACAGTTGTTTTCGAATGGCTAAATACAATATAGACATAAATAGTTGCTGCGTTGTGTGTCTTCGTAACAATGGCTTGCAAGAAACAATCTTATTTTTGGTAATTGATGTTGCAAGCTACACAAAGGAGCTGTACACTTCATACTCGTCTCAGTTATTTTCTTCCATTACCGATCGGATTGTGAAGTGATATAACATTCCGATACCATTTCGGGTTCCTTTTTTTCTTTCTTGATTAAATTCATTTGAATTACTAACACTATTGACAGCGGATGCACTTATCTCAACTGGCTTGGGTGATTTAGCCATGTGTATGTTAATAAAGGTATTCTTATGTCATATGTAAGATATAGTTAATTTTTTTTAACTTCATGTTTGCCCTATTTGAGCCTTACTGAATCTCATTGAAAGCAGATAATTGCTGGTCTGCCGCCAGTCGAAGTTCAGAGGTGAGTTGAACCGTCTCGCTCCTGAAGAAATTATGACTCCTGCTATCTGGATTCCAGGAACATTGACATATTAGAACTATCGTTTCTAGTTTAATTAGTCCGTAAACAATTCTTAATTGATGTACATAAAAATTGTTCCTCTATATGTCGACTAGCTTGAGGTTCATTATTATGTAATGGTCTATGGCTTGGACTTGGACGTGCAAGCATCGATTTGACACGAGATACAATCATTTTCGATGTAACTAAATGATTCAGTTGGTTGAAGTTCTGATATAATTGTCCAAGTAAACCATTTTTGTACTTTTGTTTCACCATGCAGGGTCAATTGGTCCCTGATCCAAACACGTTTCCATCAGGAATAACGGCTCTTGCTGATTACGTATAGGTGAAATGCCTCAAGCTTGGTATTCATTCCGATGCTGGGTAGGACGAACTTCCCAATACTCTGTTTACCCTGGTTTGCAGGTTTGGGCAGGTCCTTTGTCCGCAATCACTTGATTATTGCTTTGTGGAATAATTCTTGTTCAGTAGCAGCAACTATAACAGCTGAGTGGGAGGACCTTGGTCTTGAATAGCATCAGTGTCTCAATAAGAGATTTTTGGCAGGTGTGGAAAGGTCTTAGATTTAAACTTTACCAAAATATGCAACTACGCACCGTCTACAGGGACAATTAGGGGCCCTTCATATCCTTTAACCCTTGTTAAATAATCAATGTCAATTGGCAACAGCGCAGTATAGCCTCCTATATCATCCCAGGATAGTTTGATTTAATCAATGATTCAGTCTTTGCTTGATTTAAGTTCCAACATACTGCTTATCTTTATTGGTTGTAGCACGAAGATTGTTAGGAATCTGCAGTGGCATCATTCAGTGCTATAGTTGATTCTCATGAATGTGGCATGTACATTTTCACTCCCGGCACGGCAGCTCACTCCTATATTTAGCCTATTCATGAAGGTAGACACATGGAGGTTTGGCCGTTGTTACTAAGAAACCAGATACTACCCAAGTTCCTGCTTCTGGAAGTGTTGTAAATAGTGTCTAGAGCAGCCATAAAATTCTTGCGGAAAAATAAATATATCATGCTTCACTCTAGAATACCGGATACACAAATAAAACTCAATTGGTTTTGATGGAAAGGACCATGAACAAAACCCAAACTCAATGGTAAAAGCAGTAATTATGCAAAATTAATAAAAGATGCCAAGCATGTGCTGCTTATGAGATATCAACTAGCATTCTCAACCATCATGTCTTACAGAAATTATAAAAAGTATCAAAATGACTATTAAACTTTCAAGTAATCAAAACTTTCCTACACATCTCCGTGTTCTTAAAATTAAGCAAACATTTTAAAGAAAAATAAAACATAGAAATTCATCTTAGATTTCATACACCCTAAGGACGAGGAGGAACGGCAACACCAGAACGCGGAGCTTGACCGGGCTGACCCGGCTTTGGCAAGTCATCCTAAAAGATTTAAAATCAAACACACAATCAATGTCAGCTTTCTTAATAATGGAAATTTTCAAGAAACATGAAAACAAAACTATTAGCATTACATGCAAAAGGTAATGAGTAGAGCACAGATTACAGCAATAACAATTATTTCTGTTTGATTAATGAAATTTATGGCTACATGATAAAATCAAGAAGCACTGACACTCAAATTCCTACAATCACACTGAGACAATCAACAATACATGTGTACTTAGAAAATAAACGTCTTGACAAAAGCATTATTCAATACTTTATTATATGAAATATCTTCTACAAATGATGCAAATAATTCAATTCAGGAGTCTGCTAAAATTCTTTACACATACAGATACCTGCCATGTATCATATATACAATACAAAGACATTTTCCATCTTATTATGATCAGCATGCCACAGGAAAAGGCAACTGACAAAGTGATCAGATGGATATTAGATGTGAGGGACCAGTTCATACCTAAAGCACCTCAAATTTCAGCCAAAGGAGCAGACTGGTCCCTAAAGAGATGAAAAGGTAAGGCCCACCAATTACAACTTTTGACGTTGGGGGTTTCTAAGTTTCAGGTGTAGGCCAATTCTTCTTGTTATCCCTATTGATGATCTCCAAGTATAATTTACATTAGTTCCAAGGCATATTTTCCATCCCATAATGATCAATAAGCTACCACAAGAGACTAATAAAACTTATTTAAGTAATATAAATATCATTATAAGACAAAAATTGAATGTGTATGCACAGTTAGGACATGTTAAATTATAATGTTTTAATCACATATTAACCGTCTCTTAGGCATGATATCCATGTTTAAAACACAAACCGACAAAGCTTTTCAATAGCTGAAATTACATTCACAACACTGCACGGTAACAGAATCATTCCTTCAAACATGACATTTATCAAACTTTCATCCTAACGAAACCACGTGATACAAGAAAATAATATGCAATGCATGAACAAGCAGAGTTCATTCACAGCAAAACATAGATCATTGAAATACTCCATATCAGCATACGAGAATCATCAAATTACGAGTAATAAAAGAAACATACCCAGCGTCTGATGAAGCGCTGGGGTGGATCACGGTTCCTCCTGTCAGTGCGGGATCGGACTCTCACAACATGGGAGTGAATCGCACACGAAACACAGTATTGCATCTTCACATACAACTTCGGCAGAGTGTAAGCTACACATAATTAACCAAACAATGACTTCAACATAGGCAATAACACGAGATAGTTGGAACTTAATTGAGACAAACTAAACGAAAATTACAGTCATAGACGCAGGCTTCCTTAACATCCCTCACAGCATCTTGTTCCACAATGTTTCTCACAAGAAACCTCTTGATCGACTTATCCTTTTATATTCCAAACAATGAAAAACAAACTGAAAAGAAAAAAAAACTTCAGCATAAATTAAAAAAGAAAAATACCAAGCCTGGGCTAAGAAAATTATAGATGAAAATTACCTTGGGACAGCATTTGCCACAGTTAGAGCAGCGGATGAATTTAGCATGCCACCATTCCTACGTTTGAAAGTCTACAAGACAATAAAGAAACAATCAGAGCGATAAAATTTATGAAAAAGACCAAGTTTTAATAAAGAACCAGAGTCCAAATTGGAGATCAAATGAAGATCTAATCTAACCATTATTAGAGGAAGAAGTGTTGATTATGGAGGCTCTTCGCTTCCGCCGGCTAAATAACTAGGCTTTGGCTTTTGAGAAAACTGGGAAAAAAATTATGCGTTTATACTTGGGCGAGTGTAGTGCAGCGAAACCCTAAACTTTTTGGTAACAGTTAGACACACCTATATATTATTTGGGTAAACTACTTATATGGTCACCACATATTATATAGTTTCTGTTTTAATCAACTAACTTTTTTTTAGATCTTATCTAATATTATATTTTGATTCTGTTTTTGTTACTTGTTAAAAATTAAAAATAATATTGATATGATATTTTTATTATTTATCAATACTGACTTAAAATTAACTTATGGTAATACGTCACCGTTAATGTTTTAATAATGGGTGACCAAAATATAATTAAAACGTGATGAAGGTGTGATTTAAAAAAATAATAGTTGAGTAACTAAAACAGAAATAAAGTAATAGATGGATGATTAAATACGTAATGTTTCCTAATTTTTTACATAATAATTATATAAAATATTCCCGACCGCTCTCCACCATCTTCACACATCCTATCCAGCTATCTTCTCTCCATCCTCTTGGTTTCAAGTTTCCGATACACCAGGAAATTAAGGTAATTTTTTAAACCCTTAAATTCACATTTGTTTCCACTGTAGTCATCCGATTTTGAGTTATCTGCTCTCTGCATCTGTATTACTTTGTTATTTCAATCTTTTTGAACTGGATTATTTGCTTGCTTGCTCCTATAAAACATCTCTATCAAATATGTTTATGTTGTTATTATCGCTCTTATTCGTCTCCAGCCGCAGAAAAAAGCCATCAAATAATAAACATGGTGGTTGCAACCTTATTGTCTCCATGCAATTCGACTTTAGTCCGTGGTTTTTTGGGCGTTAGAGTCAGGGTTCTGAATCAACATGCCAATGGATGTTTTCATGTTTATCAGATCAAAAGGTTATCTCGTAGGTTTGTTGTGTTTAATGCAACTGAGGGTTCAGCCGAGTCCGGCAAATCCGAAGAAAGTAAGCCTTCGTGGGCGAGGCCGGATTCGGACGAGCCACCTCCTTGGGCTCAAGATGAAGGAGGGAAGGGTTCCGCTGCACAGCAGGGTCTTGAGGTTCCCTTCTTTGTTTACTTACTTGCCTCGGCGATAACCGCCATTGCCGCAGTATGCTTCGTGTTCTTATAGTATAGAATGTTTTTGAGACACTTGAAATTAAGATGGCTCAACTCTTTTTTCCTCTTCATGCTGCAGATTGGTTCTATTTTCGAGTATATTAACCAAAGGCCCGTGTTTGGAGTTTTGAACTCCAACAGCGTTTTCTATGCTCCCTTGCTTGGTTTCTTTGCATTTACCGGAATCCCCACTTCGGTGAGTTTTACTACATCATTTGAGATCAATGTTTTGAATGCGGAATTGAGACACTTGAAATTAAGATGGCTCAACTCTTTTTTTCCTCTTGCATGCTGCAGATTGGTTCTATTTTCGAGATATTAACCAAAGGCCCGTGTTGGAGTTTGAACTCCAACAGCGTTTTCTATGCTCCCTTGCTTGGTTTCTTTGCATTTACCGGAATCCCCACTTCGGTGAGTTTTACTACATCATTTGAGATCAATGTTTTGAATGCGGAATTGTAATGACCTGAATTCGAATATTCAGGCGTTTCTTTGGTTCAAATCTATTCAAGTTGCTAACAAGGAAGCTGAGGAACAAGACAGGAGGGATGGTTTTTTGTAAAGTCAGATGGCACTAATTGCCATTGCCACTGTAATCTATTCACCATGTAAACTATTCTCTCTGGAAATTGAGTGTCTTCAACGAATGTAACCGAATAAACCACCTCATCCATAGACAGCCACGTGAGACCGAAACTCTCTTTTAACTCTTAACAATGGCTATTACATGCTGAAACTCTTAAAACTGGCTACCCTTGATTGTTTGTCCGAATTGCCAATTCCCCAGGACCACGTTGTAGCTTGTAAGAGTCTTGCCATCGCTTGGGTGACTCGGAATGGCAGGGTTTGGCCGTCGAGGTAGGTGTTTCTCTGCCAGTTTTGGCCCCAGTTCCTTGACGTTGTTTGCCATCCCGTTTTAGAGCCCTTGATTGACATCTCCGAAACCACCGACGTTTGTGATTAGGATCAAGTTGAAGTAAGAGTGGCCATTGATTGTGAACATGATGCCTCCTTTCTGCATGCAGAGGACTCTGTTTTTTTAATCACCTAAATATACTATTGAGATGAGCTCAATCAATGTTTTCCTAGACAATATAGCTAGTTTTAATTAAACTTTACCTTCTGAACGAAATGACCAAATAGGCACAATTCCGGCACGATATCGAGCTATTTGTAAGAAGGTAGGCTCGGCCATGTCAAAGTGTCGGAGAGGAGGATTGCTCCACCCACCATTGTCAGTAATTCAAAGCAGTAATGGTTCCGGGAGGCACCATTTTGGGTCACAATCACACCTCATTTCATAACAAGAACCGCAGCACAAGCCATTGTTGAACAATGCGGTGCTAAGTGCAGCTGTGTTAGTCCCGTAGCCTAGGCTATACAAGTTGCCATATCCGCAAGCACCTCCTGAAAATAGTAGCAAACCCGATAAACGCTCAGCGCAAGTAAACTTAAATGCCATATCAAACCATTTAAACTTACCCATCGCACCAGATGAATAGCCGCCGCCATAGAACGTAGCATAGCCACTGGCCACCTTGCCATCCTCCATAGTTGTCGAGACTTTCGTCATCTTCATTAACTTCATTTAATAGCTCTCTTGATTCAACGGAGAAGCAGATTCCTCCACCGCCACCTCCGTCTCTATCTCTTGCAGCAAAGGTAGCAATCAAATAATGTCCACCTGCAGCTATACGTATCGGCTAGCTGGTAATCTATGTTAGTTTGCTAAAGTTGATAATTTGACTACATTTTAAATAGATTTTAAGGGTATATTTTGTTCCTGTTAAAGCTATGTGCGTTGGTATTCACGTGTACTAGGCTAAGTGAGCTGGCAGCTACTTTAGGCGGTTAGGTGGTTAGCAGTCTGTTCAGTCAATGTACTCATTGTTGATATATGATAGTACAAAGGTCTTCTTGATACTATTTTCTAAACTTTCCAATATGGTATCTTTTGCTTTGAATCTTGGGATCTTTTAGTTTTCGCTGCCTTCGTTCTTGTTGTGGTTCTTGGTTGGTTGGTTACTTTGCTCAAATGGATACTTCTGTTGGCAACGCGAAAGGCTTCACTAACAAACGAGTTAATGTTGTGCTTGACGAGATGAGCTTCTTGCTTTGGAAGCAACAGATCTTGTTAACGATTTGAAGTCTTCATCTTGAACGATTGTTGATTGGAACTATGCAACCTCTATCTAGGGCTGAGCAACGAAATCAAGAAAATCGAAAAACGACACGAATTGAGTAAAATTCAGTTCGGATTCAGTTCGGTTTAAAGTCTCAATTATTTTGATTCGGTTCGGTTCGGGTTTTTCATATGGAACCCATTTGTTCCATATTGAACCGAATAGGCAATTTTTTTTTAAAAAAATATAGTTTCAAGTGATTTTTCATTAAAAAACCGAAAAATCGAATCGAACCGAACCGAAAAATCCAAACCGTTAAAAAAACCGAACCGAACGGAAAAAACCGGTTTCGATTTTTTAACCATTCGGGTTCAGTTTAAATTTTGAAAAACCGTTTATTTCGGTTCGGTTCAATTTTTGGTAAAAAAACCGAACCGAACCGAATACACCCCTACCCTACCGACGACGGTTACTGCTAATGATGGTGAAGAATGACCAAATGATGCGTACGAGGACTTTTTGGCGTACGAGGACTTTCTGGCGTAAGATAGCGCGTTGGCTTCATGATTATTATCACGATAAGTCCACAACTTCTTCCTCAATTTATGGGACTGGAGATTATGGCGGCGGTTTGGAAGATAGTCCTACAATTCTTTGTCAACCGATCCACGAAGGCAGTGATGAGCTTGCACTACAAGCTCCAGTCGCTTAAAAAGGGCAACGACAGCATGAGAGTCTATCTAACGTGTGTAAAAGAGGTTTGTGATGCTCTCTCGTCTTTTGGGAGTCTGGATTCTCTTAATGTTCATCTCGTAAGTATTCTGAAAGGGTTGCCCAGGGAGTACTAACCATTTGTTGCTGTTATCACTACTATGAAGGAGACGTGTGATGATTGGAGGAGATGAGCGTGGAGATGTAGGAGAAATCGGGGTAGACGATAATGGAGATGCATTAGAAATTGGGGCAAATGGAAATCGAGGGTTAGGGATTGAGACAGGAGAAGGGATTAAAAAAGGGGAATTGGGGATTGAAGATCGGGAAGGGAAAATGAGGAACTTACCTGTGGTGTTGAAGTGGATCAGGGGAGTCTTCAGCCCAGAACCAATGAGCAGCCCACGTCAGAGAGCCCAAGTACCTGCAGAAGAACTGAAAAGAATATTAATCAGTTATAATTGTTACAAAGACAAGCCAGCTGTCACTTTGCTATTTACGTTTTTACCCGTGTAACTAAATAAGACCTGACTTGAGGCATTTTCTTCCTCATGCAACGAATGAATGACTACTTTCTTCTCTAAATTCTCTCATTCTTTTCTCGTATCTTTCTCTATTTCTCTCATTCCATAACAAATTGGTATCGAGAGCCTCGGTTCTGGCAAGCAGTGGGCATGACAAAGAAGAATCAAAACATGAATGAAGCTGATCTATCAAACCTGCAGAAACAGATGGAGGATTTAACAGCATTAGTGAAGCAAGGACGGGACGAGACTAATCCACCTAAGTGGTGGGAAGTGCAGGAAAACAGAATCACAGCAATGGAATCAAGAATGGTTACTAATCAAGGCTATGTTGAAGAGTTGTTAAAGATTTTAACAGGCAGAACAGGTGAGCAGGAAAATGTTGCTGGTGAACAGGTACAAACTCCTAATGCTTCTAAAAATGGAGAAAAAAGTCCTGTTTTGGTGACTGTGGTAAAAGATAAATCCAGATTCACTTATAAACCGGATGATCCTGGGATATTAAAAGCAAAACCTGATGATTGTATGGTCTTAAAAAATGGGAATCAGTTAGGTGAAAATAGTGAATCTAGACCTAATTTGTTGGGGTCTGAAACAGAAAGAAAAGGTCCAGGAAGTTCTTTTAATAGTTCAGGGTCTATGTGGCATAGGCCTAAAATTGATTTGCCATTTTTTGAAGGGGTTAATCCTAGGGGGTGGCTTCAAAAATGTCTTAAATATTTCTCTCTGTGTAATGTTCCTAATGAGCAGAGGGTAGAAGTAGCCACTATATACCTAACTGGGAAAGCAGAGGTTTGGTTTGATGGGTATATTATGCAGAAACACCATGTTACTTGGCATGAATTTGAAGCAGATCTTTGTCATAGATTTAGTGACAAGTCTTTTTCTGATATAGTAGAAGAATTTACTAAGCTGACTCAGAAAGGGACTGTTGAGGCTTACCATGAAAAATTTGAAGAGTTGCAACCTTATATGTTATTACAAAATCCTACACTAAATGAGGATTTCTTTGTATCACTCTTCATCAGTGGACTCAGGGAGGATATTAAACACAGGGTGAAGGCTTTAGATCCTAAACATTTGCCTGAAGCATGCATACATGCTAAACTTTATGAATTATCTGTTGACTTTGAAAACAAAAGATGGAGACCTTC